TGTTTCATGTAAGAATTACATGCTTTTTGTTTTGATGAATTCGATAAGGGGAGGAAAGCTCCTGCACAAGGACCTCCAGGCAGACCTGCTCTGGACATGTGTACCAGCAGCACTCCTGTGTTGGTCCAATTTTTCTCACAAAGCATCCAAGCATGGCAAATACGGGAAAAGCAGCTCCTGGAAAGAAGTGCTTTCTTCAGCCATTCTCATAAGGCATCTGTGTCATCAGAGCTGGGCAGCCTAGAGTGATCCTCTTCACCATGGCAAACCCTGGGCTGTCAGTATTGTACTTTCTTGCTACCAGCAGTATTCACATTTACCTCTTCTCAAAGAGCTGCAAAATATCCAGAGCAGAAGAGGAAAAGGTCTTCTCCTATGGTGTGTAACAACCTTGAGCTCTCTCAAAAAGCATCTGGGACAAAGCAGCCTATTTTTAAGCACTGCATCCCTTCAGAGATGTACACCACTTTATCTAGCAGTCCAGTGGAATGCACTGGTTTGTGCTTACTGAAGCAGCTCCCCATTTAATGCAGCCTGTTTCTTTTAATCTTAAGTACACTCTCATTTCTTACAGGTTTTCACTGTTAAATGGGAAAGGTATCAGGTATGCTAAAACTTATAAATCAGTTATTCAGGAAGCATGATGACAAGAGTGCCCAGGACAAGGGCCAGGTGAGACCAGCTGGCAGCTGGGATTGGGTGTGATGGGTCCTTCTCCCTGGCTGGGCTGGAGGGAGGGAGAAGAGGATGCTACAGCTCCAGTCCCATCTTGTCCTGTGCATGCTTGGAGGGCCTTCTTGTGTTTTTTTCCTCAGGAGGAAAATAATTGAAAACTATTGAATTCTGTGTTTAGAATGGGGAAACAAGATTTTTCCTTTGAGAGCAGTGTAATTTTGACACCCCAGAAATCACACTGACACAAACCAGGGTACTCTGCAACCCTGTGTTTGAAAAAAAAATAACTGTAGATCAAATGTCAAATTGGAAAAAAATGATAAGGGTGAGCTTCCAATTTAAAAAGCTTGTTGACACAAAAGTAACACTTGGGCTGGATTTTGTGGAGAGTTTGACCCTCTGGATGCGAAAGGGATTTGGTTGGCAAAGCACAGCAAAAGCTAAGCTCCAGTCACACTGCTGGCTCTTGAGGCAGAGGCAACACCTCAAGCCCATTTCCAGATCTACCAGTCCCAGGGGAAAGCAGCTCTGGTCTTTCAGGAGTGTGCTCCTGGCCCTGGTTTTCAGGGGTGTCTGGTTAGCCCTGGCACGAGAAATAGGAACCAGTCCTTACTACAGGGGGGTGGCTGGATGGGTCTGCCCTCCATCGCAGGGACAGTGATGATTCAGTGCTGCTTTCAAGGCATCGGGGTTTTTTTCCCTGTGAGTAATTTTAGGGCATTTCTCCCAGCCCAAGCAGTCGTGTGCTAAGCATGATCAATTCTTCCTCCCTCCCGTAATTAATAACAAAACCCCTGGTGAGGCTTAGCCACTGGTGCTAATTGGAGCACAGCACAGGCAATGGCAGCCAGCTCCAGCCGCACTAAGAGGATTATTCACTTTCTGTTTCACTGACTTCCAGTTCCAGTGGGAAAACTGGCAGCACAAGGCCATTGCCAAAGCCCAGGCTGCAGTACAGGCCATGGGGATACGCGCCAGTGATGTGCCACACTGCCCTGCCCTTTTTACAGTCTGGGTCAGTCTTGAGAATTAACCTCAGGTTTTTTTGTTCCAAGTAATGTAGACTCAGGCTTTATACTGCTGAAAGGTACTTCTGTGCCTTAGCTCTGCTACCTGGCTTTCTTGCAGAGGAATGCAAATGCTGGTCCCACGCTTTCTTGCAGCACAGTCAGAAATACCCAGCCCACCCACTTTTCAGTTTAGGAATAGCTGAAGATGGAGCTTCTGTCTGTAAAATAAACAGATAAAGCTCTCAAAAACTGGATTAAATCTACCACCTCTGAACTCCTGCACTCGGTGTGTTGATTATTAAGGCATTTAAATAGATACAGTTGGTTTGTTCAAGACATTATCCTGGAATGACTGTAGGAAACCGAATGTGCCATCTGCCTGGGAGCCAGCCTCTTCTATTAGACACAGTGTAACCCTAATGCTGAGCCAAAATACCAGCATCTTTATCTCAGTTTTCAGTCTATACCTTAAAGCCTCACTGAGAATAGGACTGGAGGAGATGCTTTCAGCAATAACATCTCTCTCCATCTCACTGAGTGCTTGTCATCTTTGCTGCACCACAGGGCTCAGGCCGGGGAATATAGAGAGCTTATGTCAGTAATAATCCTTCTCATGGCCATGGGCAGGAGACCTCTTGCCCTGAAGACTCAGATGAAGTTGAAGGACTATATTGCCTGTCACTGTACCTTATGCAGAAGGCAGCATGCTGCTGAGTGCATATAGCATGTGTTGGCTGTGGCAGTGTTCCCTGCCCATCTTCTTGCAGCCTCTGTCTGGACAGACAGGAGAGAATTTCTTTCCCCATCCCAGTGGAGGTGAGCTCTGAGCTCACATCAACTGCCCATAGCAGAACTATAGCCTAAAGACCTGGAAATTATCCCTGTGCACCAATAATCTAGTCTTTTAATATGTACCATGCTGTTCCCTCTGTGATAATGTAGATAAGTCTACTTTTGCCCTGCTGTGTCGTGCTGGTGTGTCACTGGTGAATAAGCTGCCAGGAGCTGGAGATGACATTGCTTTATGCCTGAAGATTTGCCTAAATGGGTTACAGCCTGAGACTAGCTAGCAATACCTCTGTTTAAATAGTGCATGTATCAGAAATAGATCTCTTCTCTAGGGTAATAGGTCATGGCAATCCTGGCTGTCCTACCCCAGCATTTGTGTGCTAAGTTCAGCAGCATCCCTCTGACCTGCTGCTCCAAAGTGAGAGCTTTCAGAAACAGAGCTTTTTGGGTTTCAATTTTTCATAGGAAAAAAAAAAAGGCATGTTTGTCTGTTCCTGCAAACAGTGAGGTCTTTAAATCCCATAGCCTTCAGCTCCTCCTGTGAGAGCTCACCATTATTTAACTTTATTTAAACCCACTTTGGCAAGAGTTTCTGCATCTGTCATCTGCAATGGAAAATGGTTTTACAGCACCAGGGGGAGGGAGTAATGCTGATACCCATGCCCTCTTTTATTGTTGCCGGTGCCTGAGACTTCCCTACATGCCTTCCTATGCCCTGTAGCTGCTTGCAGGCAATGCTTTCACCCTGCAAAAGGAGCAGAGGTTTGTTTTAGTTGTTAAACTTGGCCACAAAGGCATCCCTCATTTCACCTGGCTTTTACTTGAGCACCCACCGAGCAAGCCCTTGGCTGGAGCTGCCTTCCCTTCCACCAGCACCAGTAAAAGAGATTATCACTGAGCCTTCCTGGGGACAGCAGGAGCTGCTTAAACTGGCAAGTCCAGATAGGGTCCTGGCAAGGAGCAAAACAAGGCTCTTGCCTATGAGGGTAAGGATGTTCACTGTGGCTGTAGGACAAGGCTGTTCCCATTAACGATACACTGCAGTAATTGTTTACTTGCTTTGTCGCTTCAATTTCCAGCGTATGGATATTAAATAAGACTCCTTAGAGGAGAGGAAAATAAATTCTCTCAGAGAACTATGTTCCAGGAGACCCTATAGAGAAAACCATAAAATCATCAGATACATTTTGTAAAAACAATTAAAAATAATGTAGCTTGACACCAACAGCTTTAAATGAGATTAAGAAAAGCTGGAAAAAATGGGCTCAGCATTTAATAAGATAATTGCATTCGGTACCTATCCTTTTCACCTTTTCTGACTGAGATTACAAAACATTCCTCCCACCCCCTGCATCCCATGCATGCTCTCACTTCTACCTTTTCTTAGGTAACAAGGCTCCTGGGGCAAAGCCATTGCCCATCCGTGCTGGGGTTTTGCTGCAGCCATGCTGCACACCAACAGCCATCCTCACTGGTCAGCCCAGCTCCAGGGAAGCCTATCCAGTTGGCATCATGCAATAATCATAGATGATATAAAGCAAACTGTAGAACAAGCCCAAGAACAGCACCCACCCCAGGTTGTCCCTCCACATTTCTTGGGTTCTATAAGCACCAGGACTCTGTCCATCATTCAGGGCTGGGGAGGAGACATCCCCATTGGCCAGGGACTGATGGCCAACAGAAGAAGAAAGATCACAGGCTCCATCCACCATGCATGCAGCAAAGTCATATGTGGTCCATATCCACCCACTCCCTCCTTGTGATTTTGGGACTGGAAAAGCCACAAAATGGGGATGTTTGCTGGAGGGAAGCTGCACTTGGAGGCCCCAGCCTGCACTTGAAGGCAATCAGCTGAAAAGAGCAGTGAGTGATGAAACCAAGGCAAGACAAAGCACATAGAGTTGCTTTCAGGCTAATATGTAGATTTATGCAGAAAACAAATATAAAGAGCTGCATCTGTTGCAAGCAAAGTATAATTCACCATCAGGGAAGAGGGCTTTTTTTCCTCACAGCTACATTTGCTGTAGCTATGTATTTTATTTTCCCTGGTTTTGCGTGTCATGGGGGGGGGGGGGGTTGAAGTTACATATCTTGCTTTGAATACAGATGAGTACCAAAATACTTCCCAGTGCCAGGTGACCAGATTCCTAATGTGGTACATTAGAAATTGATGGTCATCAGCTTTGCAGTATGTTGCAAAACCAAGTGGATAAAAAGCCTGCAATCAGCCTTTGAATGAGCACAGAGCTGTTTAGGTGTGATAACAGATAAGGCTTTCCTAGCCTTTCCGTGTTTGCAATCTGTTTAGTCTTATGCAACACAAGGGATGATGGAGGGAAGGCTTTTTAACTAAAATTTGCCCTCTAAGAGGCGGCTGTCATTCATACACATATATTTTGGAAAGCAGTTCTATTTGGTGCTTGAAAGGGATCTACAACCATGCAGCTGCAGATTCCAACACCCCTTGGTGCTTCTTTGGGCTTCTGTGCTGCTCCTGCTGCCATGTGGTTGCCCCACAGGTGCAGTAGGTTTTGGGGATAACTGCAGGGAGATGCTTGGGGAGGCTGCTAGCTCTGCCCCAGACCACAACAAATGTGCTTGTGGTCCAGGTCATACCTTCTGCACAGACAGGTCTCAGCAGCCAAAGCAGAAAAGGAGAGCAAAGGAGAAGAGACAAGGAAACTCACCTTCACAGTGTGCACTGTAGGCATCCTGCAGACCAGCATATGCCACCCAGTACTAAGCTGCCCCCAATGAAATAAATAATAGGAAAAGCTGTGGAGGAGAAGGCAGTGCAGTGACTTCAGCCTCGTCCCTGAAATCCAGAAGTAATTAAAAAGAACCCAAACTAAGAACAGTTCGTTCTTAGTATGTTTATTGAGCTGTTATGTTAATACTGCATTGCTGTGAATGACTGTATTAAGGATACCATAAATCATTAGAGAAAAGCAAAGAAGCAGCATGTACTCCTGTAAACCTGAACTGCATCTAAATGTATATGGGCTCATAAAGATGCAGAGACAAAGAAATAACAAAAGATAATTGCCCTTGACTGGAAACCAGGAATCAGCAATAGTTGTAGACTCAAAATTAAATGGTAATTGAGCAGATTGATGGAACCTGATCCCACCCTTTGAAGGGCACCTGCAGCAATATCTCTTTCAGCAGTAATTGCACCTTCCCCTCTCCTGGTGCAGAGGTCTCATCTGCATCCCAGGCTCTGGATGCTTTAGAGTGGACCCATTTATGTTTAACTGAATCCACCCTGAGCTAAGCTGAATAGTGGTGAAAGGATGGTAAAACTTCTTGGTAACAATGATGCTTGGGAAGAGATTACATGACTTTGTAGGACTATTCTGACTTTGTTTTTCAAACCATTTTCTGTGAGTCCCATTTAAGAGGTTTGAGCAAGAAATTATTCACTGTCAGATAATTATGATCCCAGCAGAAAAGTCTCAGCCCTAAATCAGGGCCCACTGGATGGCCTGGGGTGCAACAAAAAGTTGGAAGAAATTCCTGAAGGTTGGTTTTTGCTCTAAATGTTACCAGCATCAGCTCAGCTAGCTGGCATGAAATCTGCTGCAATACTGATGGAGCTGAGTGCTGTCCTCCCTGGCTTTGTTAATAGCTACATTCAAAAGCGAGCTATGACAGGAGACCCCTGAGGCAGATATTGCTCTGTGGTTAAAACTTAATTAAGGTGTTGATTTTTCTCTCTTCCCATTCCAGCAGCCCTTGATCCCACACTGGGACCCACAGCCCTCACCCCACACATCTGCTTTTACCTGGCTTTTCCTTATGCCCCAAGGATCACGGGCAGGATGGGTTTCTCTGCAAGAACACTACAACGCTCTCCACACATGTTGAAATTCATGAGTTAATGCACTTACCAACATAAATATTAAGATGCAGCAGTGCTGTTACAGACTCAAGCATTTGAAGTATTTCAGCTATTTCCTTATTTGCATTCCTTACCCATGTGTCTGTGAAACCAGTTTATAAAAGGGCATTTTTTTTCCCCACAGACTTGATGATTACACCAAATTCCAGAGGCCTTTTGACAGATAAGGAGGATCCCTACCGACCTTGCCTTTTGTTTACCCTAAGTGTTTTACTGGCCCTCCTGTACCTGTCAGATAGGAACTGGCACAGGGAAAGCAGTCCTGGCAGGATGGAGAACAGAAGAAAAACTGAATTCACAACTTCACCAAGCGTCAACCAACCCCAGCAATGTGTCATTGCTGGAAAAATATGGGATAGCAGTCATATTTCTGGCTTGGTTGAGAGGAGGAGAAGGGGTGATGGTCAGGTTTCTAAGGTACCAAGCACATCTGCATCAACCCATCTGAGCTTCCCAGTCCCTGAGATGACACGTGTTCCCAGAGATCAGTGGGACAGTTGGGTGCATGGGGTGGTGTTGTGCTGGAGGTGCAGGGTGTTGGAGGGTATGGACATCCACACCAGGAGGGGTCAAAGGAGAAGGGATAAGCAGAAATCTTCATCTGGAAATAACTGCTCTCTGAGCAGTCCTTGGGGACTGCTGGCACCAGACTGGTAATAACTTAATTGCAACCCATTTATCCTTGAAGGGTATTTTTGGTAATTGCCTTTAATGCACCTTTGTTAAAGCAATGAAGCAGTATTCACTCCCTTCTGATTTCAGCATAATTTTGGTTTAAATATATTCAGGTGGTAATTTTTGCCTTGCTCTGAAGCATTGATAAACCCTCTGGTGTCTCAGCACATTTCACAGTGTTTGGGAATAAAATTAGTTATACTGGCTGTCCGCTTTGGTCTCCTGAACGACAGATCTCAAGAGATTTCAGCCCTTTTCTGTTCTACCTTATTAAAATCATCAAGAAATAATTTTACTTTCAGGTGATTTTTTTTCCCTTGCTTGTTTTCTCCTTCATAACACACTGAGAAGCAGAAAGGTATGGTGAGTGCTTCTGAAAATAGAGGTGTGCTCTTTCTTCTTTCTTCCCCACCATTACCTTTCCAAGTGTTCCCCAGATGTTAGAATGTTAATTTTTCATTGAGCTTGGTCAGAGATGCCTATCAAATGGGTTAAATAAAACAAGTACAAGAGGTTGTTTAAAAAGCTTGCCCTTTTCGTCCACTTAGTTTATTCATCCTCCATCCCACAGCAAATTATTTAGAGGAAAACCAGTCTTGGCAGGACCATCTCTTTTATTCTCCAATTTGTACAAAGGATAGGAGACAAGGTGGTCTTCACAGGTGCATCAGGGCACAACTAATGGCCATTTTTATAGCTTTCATATCCTCTGAGCCTCAGTGAGGGAGTTTGGGAAAGAATGGGAGAGAATGAGCCATCCCAGCAGCTTTTCTTGCTGTAAAAATCAAATCTCTGTACGGGGAACTGGATCCTGTCAGAGCCAAAAAAAGATGAACCAAACCTAGGAGGGGATTAGTTTTGAGATGCTGCCGTTTCCCTCTCCTCCACCTCTGTTACCTATCCTACCAGCAGAAAAGCTTTAATGAGAGCGTAATCACTCAGACTCTTGCTGCCTCATGTGACTTCCCCTCCTCCTTATCCCCCCTCTAAACTAAGGAAAGGATTAATTTGCTAAATTTAAATAGTTAAACCTGCAAATCCAAATGGCAAGGTACAAAACCAATTCCTGCAAAGGTTTTGCTTACAGCCATGTGAGCTGCCCTGTGCTGTCCCTCCAGCTCCCTAGGGAGGGATGCAGACAGGCAGACTGCATGTCTGTGCTCCACCAGGCTGCAGGTGACTGCCCCATGCTGTCAGTTTTTAAATGAAATGGTGCTATTTTGTGTGTTTCAGGGGCAGCTTTTGTTGTTTGTTGCTGGAGTCTCAGTTGTGGGGATGCACAGGGCTGGCTGGGAAACATGGAGCAGTTCAGCATCCTTGTGCTGCTAACTTCTGATGCCAAACCATCAGGGTTGTGGCCCATGATAGGGATAATCTGAGTGTGCAGGGACTGCAGGATGTTAATTGTGATTTACAGACAGGAGACAACCTTTTATGTATGAGTAAGCAGTAGTAAATCAGTAAAAAAATGTTTGAAATACCAGATGCAATGCAAATTTATACCAAATGCGGCGAGTCAGTAGCACACAAGGGCAATTGGTTGCTTGAGCTTTGAAAAGTTTGTGAGGGACCACACTCACAGGGCTGGAGCCAGAGCTGCAGAAGTGGTCTGGACATGCACCCGCTCTTCCAAAACATTTATCTCTCTGAAGGGTTCACAGAATTTCTGCTCTGATCTGTAGACTGTTTTAAAATATTTTTATCCCAAGGCTCTCCCCCTGCTACTCTCAAGCCAAAGCAACTTCATTTTCTTCCTTTTCTGGTTTTATTTACTGGGTGGAGATGCACGCTGCTGGCCCCAGGGGTCATGCAGTACTTAAAAGTGGCTGGAACACCACCCGTAACCAAAGTGGTGAGCAAATTCCCATCCTAGCACCCAGGCAGGGAAGAGTGCTGCATCTTCTTCTCTTTCACTTGGAACAATGCAAGAAGCCCCAGTTAGGTTTGAGCATGCCTTTTCCCAAATCAGCAGAAATCCCATGGGTGGGAAGATCTTATAGGTAAGACCTTGTGGTCAGTATCATGACAGATAGGGCAGGTAAAAAATAAAACAAAGCATCAGTGCCCAGGCTGCACATATGAGCAGGAGGTGGTAGAGGTGTGGGTACTGTCTGCAGCAGGCAGCACCAAGGACCACTGATGAAGGGAATAGCACCTCTTAAATGGGTGTATTTATAAATGCATTGTAGTCATCACTTCTGCATGAAGTGACTTTTTAATTCCCTTCCTACTCTGAGGTCTGTGGAAATTATTTTAGAGGAACTGATATGCCTGCTCAGTAGTATCTGGGACTCTCAGCATCACCTTGGAAAATAGCTAAATAACACCAACTGCAGCTGAACACTACAAGAATACTCCAATGCCCTTAAATTGTGGGTCCATCCTCCCGCAGTCATCCCTGACCCTTCTGGTAGCTGGTGGCAGGATCTTGAAGAGGCTTGTCCTGCTCCCTTCGATGCATTGTAAGACATGGGTGGGAGGCTGGCACTGCTCAGCATGGCTCAGCACAGTTCAGCACAGCTTGGACAGGCAGCAGACCAGGGCTGACTTGCACAAGAGTTAAATCTCTCCAACAGAGCCTAGAAAGCGTGAGCTAACTGGGGGCTAGGCTGCCTGCAGGGGATTAATCAAGCAAAGAGTACTAATAGGAAACAGCGACAGATGTCAAGTGTGTGTTGCTCCTATATATAATTTGGCCTTAAAACACAAATTCATGAGTTCCTGTTTGCTTTCGTAATCTTGGAAGGTGTCTGTCACCATGGTATCTGCATGCTGCAGCAGGACAGAAACAGGCTCCTCTCCAACCAAAAAGAAGGGGTTTATTTCCTTTTCCGGAGCTGTGGGGAGAAGCTGGGGGGTGTGCATGGGATGGTGTTGCTGAGGGACACCCTGGATGGAGGCAGCTTGTGGACTCTCCTCCCTCCTTCTCCTCCCCAGATGGGGCACGCCACATTGTGGACAGCTTTGGTTCCTTCAACATGGAATATTTACCAGGGCAGATATTTTAAAGATGCCTCAGAATTAAGGCGGTGACATGAGTGAAGCCAGGGACCCTTCCAGCTTCTGCAGGCTTAGTAAGAAGAAACCACAGCTATTGCACTTGGCTTAGACTTTATACAAAAGCTGGCAGATGCATTATTTGTAACAAAATATTAGAATACCTCCACAGTGAGCTCAGCAAGGATGGACCCACAAAATGCGTAGCAAAAAACTTTTATAGAAGAGGAGGAATGGGAAAAAGAAAAAAGATCCATAACAAAAATGGCCAGTTTAGAGTTCTGGAAATACTTCCACGCTGGTGTGTGTGTTGGGATCCAACACAGACTCCTGGCAAAGGCTGACAACCTTTCTGCCACCCGTGGGATGAAAAAAACATGGAAACACAGAGAGGTTGTATCAGGAAAAGGAAATGTGCATTGAGCTCAGTGCAGTCTTCTTCCTTTTTAGGAGTGGTGGGAAGCATAAATTCTTTGTGTTCAGAGGAAACTTATGCTTTCCTGTACTATCTTGGGGCAGGTCAGCATCATTTCCCTGGCAAGTCCCCACCTGCATGATAAGAGTGGTCAGCTCTGTGTGGAAGTCAGTTAAAGAGAAATGCCCCCAAAACCCCAGCCAGACTTTTAGAGTAAGCACACAGTTTCCTTGCAACAATTATGGGTCTAATCTGGGGTTCTCAGTTGTCTATAGGCTGCACAGGTACAAGGATCAAGTCCATTCACTATGAGGAACACAATCCAGTTTCAACTGAAAGTACCCATAGGACAGTTTCACCCCTCTTCCCTTAAGATGCAGCCCAAACTGAATTAGCCCACTTAGAGATCCTATGGTTGGGGATCCTCTAGGACAGCGGAGACTAAATCAGCAAGCCAGGTGGGAAAGACAGACTTTCAAAGCTGGGAAACAATCAAACTTATTAAACAGTCACAATCGAAAAGTATTTGGATAAAAAATATCAGATCAAATGGCAGCATTCGCTACTGACTGTGCTCAAAGCCATCATGAGCTGCTGCATTGAGTCATTATCCAAGGACTAAGTGATGCCAGGAATTCACTGGTTTTCTGGTGAGGCAGATGGTCCTACATTGTCTATCTCAACATCTGCACTGGACAGCACGTCCTGTGTAGGGCTGCTGAAGGTTTGGGAACTCCAGGTGGAGATGAGAGTGCTGAATGGCAGGTGAGATGAAGACCCAGCTGGCAAGAGATGTGTTCATACTTACAGATTCAGATGATGTCTGTGAAGGCCAGGAGAAGGAAGCAGCTTAAGGGTGGTTATGACTTCCCTGCTTTCCTCCTCCCCGACGCACAATTTTCTGCAATTTAGCAGGAGAGAAACAGAGGGAGAGAGAGAGAGACAGCACACAAAATGCATTTTAGAATGGGGTTAGAGTAGTGCCAAAATGGTAAAATGAAATAAATTTAATAGCTTATGATAATAAAGAAACTGGGTTTTAAAATGGCCCTGCATTCATCCAGTGAAAGTCATAAGTACCTTATTTTTATGATATATTTCTGTTTCAGAGTAAACTCAACATGTCTTGTTTGTATTAAAACCTCCTTTGCACTGAATAAAATAACTGTAAAGCATATTCTTTCATCTACAAGGGCTTGTGTTCACACTCTTCACCCTTTAAAATTCATATGAATTTCAAGTTTTTCATTGCATTGGAGAAGCGACCTATTTGATGTAGGCTTGTAGAAGAGATAAATTACGTATGTGTTTTGAATAACAATATCTGATTTCTTCTTGTGAATGGTCAAGTGGAAATATACTTTCCATATGTAATTAGAAATGTAGAAGGCTCACTACAAGATTAAAGAGAAAGAGAGAAACTTAGAAAATCATCAGACATGTGCATTCTTGTTAAGCTCATGAAAGAACGCCATCGTTTGAAGGCAGGGCAGCAGGCAGGCATTTGCAAGGTCTGGCAGTATGGAAAAGCAGTGCTGTGGAGCCAACCGAGTCAACTGTGTTGGTTGAACAATGGTCACAATGCCTGAAACCACCTCATTCTACATGAACATGCAAATTTGCAATGGGAGGTGGCTGCCGCCTACATCGCGCCCCTCTGAGCATCACCGCGCCCCTCTGAGCATCACCGCTGCAGTGGGGAATTCAGTGTGCCACGCAGGAGGGAGAGAAGCTCATTCATCTTCCACAAGATGTTGTCAATGCAAGCGTTGCATTGAAGACAAGAAACCTTCCTAATCAATCAGGCACACCACGAGATCCTATAAATAAATCCGCAGACTGTGACTGCCAGACTGGAACCAGTGAGGAAGCTCCTCCACTTTGCTCAGCAGATACTCACTTCTTAGGGTGGTGGCCATATTAAATAAGACTCAAATACAGAATTACGCCCTGCAATGTCAAATGCAATCTCCCTCCTAACCCTACAGATGTGCAACTGGTAAAAATCTTGCCAATATAATCAATTTCCAGGATTGCGGCTCAACCCTTGTTCCCATTTGCTGGATTTATTTTTAAAACTGCATTTGCACAGTTACTAATTCTATGAGTCCCAACCACAAGTGCCAGCAGGCTGGGAGGCAAGCAGAGAGGAGGGATGCAGCCTTAAATGTGGCTGCTCTCAGTTAACATGAGAGTAACTTGGGTTAGCTGCAGGGAGTAACTGCAGGTAACCTGGAGGAGCAGCTGGTAGAAGACACTTAACCAGAGAGGTTAATGTTACCTTGGTGAAATAAACCATGTTACTCTTTGCTGTGCATCATAGTCCCGTTTTATCTTTCCCAA